TTTATTTACATAAATTAAAGGATTTTTACCAGTTTTACTGATTGTCTGCTATTTACTGAAATTTTTACATCATTATGGTTTTAGCCTTGTTATTTAAAGCTTATTTACACTGTTTAGCCTCTTATGTATCTGTATTTAAAAAAATATTCAAGAAAATAGACAAACAATATTATCAACTAATTCATTTCACTAAAAAGGTATTTGTGAATTTTTGAAAATTTTAATAATTATTTATTGAAAACATCTACTCTCTGATTCTTATTCGGCGATTACTGTTACAGGATTAAGTTCAGCCAGTCAAAATTTCCGCACCTTAAAAAATTGGGAAGGTCTTTATTATTTGCAGTTACAACAGTTATCAGTTAAAATCGTGTTTGAAGATAAAGAAAAACAAATTTGAATAATTTTTACCACACTTCCAAAATTAGAAAAAAAAAATTATAATTTTATTCTGCCGGTCAGACATGTTGGCGTTTTTTTTTACAAAATTTTTACATAAGGAAGCTACAATTTAAATAAAGTTACGCTCCAAAATCCTTTCAAAATTAAAGATGAAATTTTTTTTTAATTAATTGTGTCGAAATCATGAATCATTTGGAATTTCACAAACATACGCATACTTTACTCAAAATGTTAATGTTGCGAAAATTCAGTGCAAATCAACCGTTATTTAAACTACTTCCTTTATGTTTTTTTCACAGTCTTTGTTTTATGTGACAAATTACAACCTCCCTCCCAAAGTGTTTAAAAATAGTCTCGAAATATTTCCTAAATAGTTTCTTTGTTAAAAATTAAGTAATTATATACGATTTAAATGGGCGTACTATTGCTATTTAGAACAAAATACTATTTAAAAAACTAAATAGCAAAAAGCTTTTGCTATTTAGTTTTCCTTCTTGCAGTATGCAATAAACTTGCAAAAATAATATCTGCCTCAAATTAATGTTACGGACCTTTGATAATTAATGTGAATATTGAAGAAGTGACGTAGAAATTGCGCTCTACATTATATATGATTTTAAAAGAAACTTTCTAAATTTGCACAGTGAGAGTAGTAATTCAATCATTTATGTATAAACACATGTATAAATAAACCCACAATATTTAAAGTGGTTATAAATTTTAAAACCATTATGTACTATTTTTCATAGACGAGAATATTTTTGGTTTTTGATAAATTGAAATGTTTTTGTTTTGTGGATGTATTTGTATAGTTCTTTATAATTATTTTAAAAGTTATATAAATAAATATTTTGGGAATATTTATTTTTAAGTTACATAATTTTTACTTAAAAAGGCCTTTAAAATGTGAACTTTTAGAGTACGTTTACATTCATATAACCACATAAGAGAATATTCATTCTAGAAGGACTTGTTGTACGTAAGTTCTTAATTCACTGTAAAAGCAATTCTTAAGACTTTTTGTATAAGATGGTTATTTTGAATAATGTTAAGTCAAAGTATTAAAGTGCAATCTTAGGACACTTTTGTTTAAATTTTTGAGTTATAATCAATACTTGTCCATTTAGTCAATGTATATTTAAGGGCAACATATGACTTTTCTCCAATTTACTGGAAAACTGAAACTTCTACTTTATAAATATCTAACAACTCATTTGTAAAAGCTTAAAGAGCTACACTGTCCAGTTGAATTGTGTTTAGTTCCCAATCATAAGCAACAATTTACAACAATAAATACAAAAACGATTAACAATAAATACAAAAAGTTGGTACATAAAATGCCGTATTAATATTATTGTTATAAGTTCTGAGAAGTTTTTAAATATTATGCCATTTTCCGTTTATAAATTTTTCTAGATTCTAATTAAGGCTATGAGAAAAAATCATAGCAAAAATTAGAAACAATTGAAATTTTAGCAGTTTCTCTTGACAAAAAAAAATAAAAATTCAATTTTCATTTTCTCATTTTGATAGTTTTTCCCGAATGATAATTTCCCCCTAAAATCCTTTAGCCACTTCTTAAATCCTTTTTTAAAAAAATTTAATTTTTAACAAACGGATATTTTATTTTTTTTTTATATTTTTTTAATAATAATAGCTCGAAAAATTTTAATCATAGTGTGTGTCCAACTAAAATATCATGTTACCGCATAAATCATGACTAAAACTGTATTATATAAGATTTCTGGTGCAGCTTTGTTAAAAATAAATCCTTTATGGTTTAAATTACTTTTATTTCAAATACCAATTTAATCCAAAAAAAACACAAAATGTATCAAATGTTTTTTGTTTTAATTTAATTAAAAGCTATACTGTTTCTTTTTACTTTAATTACGAGCTGTAAGTTTTCATATATTGTAAACCATGTGCTGACTGGATAAGTAAATCCTGATTAGAAAAGATTAGAATTTAAACTAGTGAAAATTTAAAAACAACGAAAATAATTTAACAAAAATATTTCGTTTAAAAATACAAATCTGATTGCAAAAATTTTAAAGCTAAAATCTTTTACTCTCATTGTCCTTGTTATTCCTACACTTTTACCCTTACAGTTATATAATACCCCTCTTTTTAGCGATTTTTCAGTTTTGTATCTGATATTTTTAATAATGAAATTCTGTTGAATTTTTTTAAATAGTCTTTGCGAAATTATTAAGAATAGAATTAAAAAAGCATTAAGAATAAAATTTTCCTTTAATCAGAAATTTTCCTTAAATATAATTTAATTCAAAGCTTGAAGTCATAAAAAATATAAAATGAAGGCAAAGCCAAACAGACTGAATGTTTATCTGCTGAACACAGTCCACACTTAAATTCAAATTTGTTAAACAAAATATCACATTATATAACATTAAAATTACTCTCATTATTTAATTTTACTTGTGAACTGAATTTTACGTTGTTAAATACTTGAATTATCCTAAATGTATGCCAAAAAAACTTTTCATATTGCTCAAAATTGTTTAAATTTAAACAATAAATAATAGCTAAATATTTTCTTTTGCGTTTTTTGTAAAAAGAAAATCATAAAGTATGACACAAATTTCTCGCATGATACATGAAAAATATCTCTTTTTTATTAGTATAGTGTTAAAATTGAAACTTTTGAATCATAAAATTATTTTTATTCCTTGAGATTAAAATGAGACCATGTTAATTATGAATATTAAGTTTTATTTTTTGGATTCAATACAATGACTTTAACTTGCATATATTTACAGAATTTTTAAAATTATGTAAGTTTAATTCTCTTATCATCTATTAAAATTTTGCGGCAGTCACGGAAATATTAAAAAAATTCAAAGACTGATTATTGAAATTAACTTTTTTGACAAATTCTTTTTGCCAATCTTAAATTGAGATCTATATAACTTGCATATACATACATACATTGTCTAACGAAAAATATTTTCTTTCACAAAATAAGATTTGGCCTGACCGTCTATCGCTATTTTACTTGACAAGAGTAACTATTATATATTTGTACAAAATTTATTCACTTTGTTTTGAAAGTGAAACGTTCAGTCAATATTTCGAGAAAAATTGAAAAATCCTATTGAAAAAATTGGAAAAATGAAATATCAATTAGAAAAACAGAGAATCTGATTCGAAAATGAATAAAAAGTGAGAAGAAAAAGCGAGATACGGGATTAGGCTGTAAATCAACCCACAGTGACGCTACATCAACAAACAAACATTCGTTGAATTTGGTAGCATTGTAATCTTAGTTGTTTATGTCTCAAGTTACAGATATCCGGTTGAAAATCAGAAAATATTTTGAATATCCATAAATAATGCAAATAACGTATATAAATATCCTTAATTAAATTCATTTTCGTTTTAATAATTAGAAAATGCTTAAAATATTTCAAATAAAAAAAAGTATTCAGCTCATTCAGCGATTTACCAATGTATCAATAAAGTTGTTTGTAGAAATCCACCAGTTTGCAAATGTTTATATTTTATGGGTTGCTGTTAAATAGTGATTCCATTATTATCTAAAAAAGTTCAATTTTAAGTATTTTTATAAATTTTACCAGAGAGCAGAAATTTATGATGTTCCTTGAATGTTTGAATATTTGAGATTTGAGTTTGAACGTTTAAATATCTTAGAGTTGGCCGACATATTTTAAATTAGAAGAATATTAGCTTCGATCAATTAACCACAAAAATTATATATTTTTTAGCAGCAAAAAGTTAACGTATAGTTCTATTTCATATGTACGTGTAGCTATAAAATAAAAAGTAAATATCAAAAGAGAAAAATAATAATAAAAAGAAACGAAAGCGAAGGGTAGTTGTTCACAACAAAAATTTAAAAACTGAAAGAAATGGTAAACCTGAAAAGAAGTTTTTATTTTCTTTTTCTTTTACCGCGATCATTGGGTCAGTTACAAACAGAAATGTTACTTTTTACTCACTCTCAAAATTTTAAAGTTCAGTTGTTATTGAGACGTTGATTAAATCGTTTGTTAAATAACAAACCGCAAATTTTTTATAAAAGTATTTTTTTTTCTGTTTGAAATTTATTTAATAACGAACTACTCAATTTTTCTGTTACTTAATTTTGTTTACAATTTTATTTTTTAATAAATTTTGCAACGGTATAATATTTAATGTAGAAGTATAACAGTTATAATGCATACTAAGAGAGAAGTTTTATAAAAATTTATTATAGTTTGCATGTTAGAAATTTTGTTTTGTATTTCATTAATTTTTATTACTATTCCCCTATTTTAAATTAATAAATTAAATTAAAATTTATTTTATATCACACAATAGTAGTTTAATAATAATTATAATCGTTATGAAAAAGAATAACTTTTATTTAATAATTAAGTTACGGTTTATAAATTGAAAAAAGAAAACTCGTATATCTATATAGTTTATGTATACTTATATATGTATGAATACGTGCATAATATATAAATATATAAATAAATAAAAAAAAGTAAAAGAAGTTTCACATATTAATTATTGAATTTGAATTTTAAAATACCTTTTCTTTTAAATAAAAATAAAAGCTATAAGTAAAAAAATTTCTATCTATGCTGATCATTACATAATTACACCGTTTATTAATAAAAAAAAATATTTTGGATTTCACCATCTTTATTTTAAGATTATTCCTTAGTTTATTATTGAGGTGAGTGAAATTTTTATATTTTATTGCAAAATTTTACATATTTTAATGAATTTATACAAAATAATTTTTCTCAAATTTATCAAATTAAACATACGACAATAATAAGTCTCTGAAACTGAAACCGAAATCAAAAAATTTAACGTACTTAAATGTTTTTCAAAGAAAAAATAAAAATTTTTAAATATGCGTTAAGTATTTCAATTCAAAAATCTAGTACATCTGGAATATTAAAATGCATTTTAACTAAGATAAGAAGTTCCTAAATTAGAGTCAAACTTCTGTCAATATACTTTAATAACAATCCACTTATTTATTGAAACTTCTTTGTCCTTTATAAATGCGACCAGTTTTTTTATTTTAACGCTGCATTTTGGTTTCCCTTTCCTATACAAAAGCAGAACGTTTGCAATTTTTTTTTTACCAAGTCGATTTTTTCTGTTATTTGAAAGTTTTGTTTAATTAGAAAAACTATACATGATAAAAAACAATGACAGTAAGTATGTCATTTGACACTGAATACCTTTATAAATTAAATGTTGGTCATTTGAAACTCCCCTGCTTCCCTAAACAATAATAGTTAAATGTACACTTATAATCTTAAGAATTTAGAATCCAAGCGCAAATATATAATTTGCACTTTCGAACATGTTGCCCTCTTAATCTCAATATCATGATTTCACGGTTTTTTTGTGTTTGGTTCTGAGAAAGTGTGATTACTCTTTTGATCTTTTATTTTCGTGTACTCCAAAGCCCATACTTATAATGTTTAATTACATGAATGTTAACTTCCAAATTCTATCTTGTTGTGCATAACTGTGAATACAGTTTACTTTTGAGATTTTTTCAAAATAATATTTTCTTCATCAATACCGAGTGATTCAGCAAAGAGCACAACAACATATATCATCGTTTAGACCAGAGGCTCCCAAACTTTTTCCCCTCCCAGACCCCCGTGTCGTGTTTTTGAATTTTTGATAGACTCCCTTAATACTTATTTAATTAAATTCATATTTTTTTGTAGACCTCTAGCAGGTCTTCATGGACCTCTGGGGGTCTATATAGACCACTTTGGGAATCACTGGTTTAGGCCATCCAATAAAATTTTAGTTTAGAACTATTTGTCAAATTTCAACGGCTTTCGAGATATAAGGATTTTGGAGAATTTTCACGAAATTTTCACTTGCCCAAAAAAACAGTTTATTTGACACCTTAACAAATAGTTTTGAAACCTTTTCAAAAACTGTTTGTTTTAAGCATCTTTCTGTTTAAAAAAATAAATTATAAGCAAAAAAAACTTAGGCTCGTTAAGATATACATATCTGGGAAATCTTGGAGATTTGAGAAATAATTCTAAAAAAAAATTACTAAATGATAGTATATGTTTAGGCACTTATTATTGAATCATCCTGTATCCCGTGACATCGTAAATGTCTCAAAAAAAAACTTATACCCGATACAATGTTAAACGGCAACAATTTGTCTTTCTATCACTAATGCAATGTAAACAAAAAGCTTACATTATACATTTTGTTTTGATACATTTCGAATCAGATTGATAACACCAACATTTTTCTCTCATACGTCAAGTTTGAAATTTTAACACTAATGCAAAAATTTGAAAAATATTATCTATTTGTTATATTTTTCTTGTTTTGATTTTTTATTGCTTACAAATTTTTAGTCATTTAATTTTTTTTTTTCAAAAATTCAAATAAAGTATTTTACATACGACACTTTGGAACTTTATTTCCAAGTGAAATAAATACGTTCCAGAAATTGAAAACTGCATAAAAAACTTACCACAAAAGACGTGTTGAATGCGTCGCGAATACATTTCACAACAAACTTTGGTTTTGCAGCAGTGTCGAAACTTTCTGTTAATAGCTTTCGCTTTACGTTTATGAGACATTGTGTTTAGAATGTCTTTAAGGCATTTACAAAGTCAAGGATAATATTGTACTTATTACTGAATCAACGTAAAGAAATTTAGGAGAGTTTGCCGTTCCGGAAATATAAGGTGCCGAAAATCAAAATGTTACCAATTTCATAGAGCTTAAATATTTAACAATATCTAAGGACTGGTAAAATTTTAGAGTTCTACAACTTACGGTGTAACATAAAAACGATATTAAAATTTCGAAAAAGGCGGGTTTGAGATAATGGTTGATATCCACATCTATTTTGTTTTTAAAAGGTTTGACTGTTTCGCGATAGAAGGAACAAATTACTACTTTTCTGCACTTACGAAATTTAATAAATGTGGTTTTGATACACAACATATTGTATTAAAAATGAAACGCTCGGAACTTTCGGGGTCTTGACTTTAAGACTTATTTGCATGATAATAATCACTTCGTTTTCATTTTGCTACAAAAGTACTAAAAATTAAATTAGGCGTTTGAATAAATCTTGATTTATTTGTTTGAAAGATACGCGAATTTTACAATATTCTTTATAAAAATGACGTTGTTTATTTACAAACAAATAAGTAAATTAAAATAAATTTTTGAAGATGGCCGGTGTATTAGAAGAGCTATCACCAGAAATCATTTAAAAATTATTTATTCACTTCGAAAAAATAGAAAAGAATATTTTTAAACGAGATATTCTTTAATATGTCAATAATTATTTTAGGTAAATAAATATTCATAAGAAAAGGTAATTATATATTTTAAAACAATCACAAAATGATATTTGCAGATATAATAAATTACCATAACAATTTCACAAATAATTAATAAATACAAAGGTGACAGCTTATATAAATTAGTATGCATAGTACGTAACTATAATATACTAATATAAATAGGTTATATAAGCTTTCAAAGAATACGTACAGCACTATGCAAACCGAGACTAGTTTGCTAAATAATATAAATATTTTACTTTTTCAATTGACTTAAGAACTTGCCAAAAATTTTTAGTTATATTTCTTTATGGGGAAAGCTATCTATCCTATTTATTGTAAGTAGTTTGCACGAATAACGTAAAGTGCAGTCATTCGATATAAAACTTTTAATGAATTACTTAATGCGTATCACCAAAATTATTATTAAAAATAAAAATGCAAAGTTTTGAAAATTGAACATTTAGAAAATCGCAAGAATATCATCATCACTTATTTAACCGATTGAAATTGTTTTTAAAATAAACTTGTTTTCTGTGACTAAATTGTGATTTCTATAAGTTTACTTTGTAATAATTTTTATTTGTCTGTAACACAAACCGTTAATAATTATGTATTCATATTTATGTCAATGTTTACACACATTTGCGAATGCGATAAAAGTAAATAATACAAGTTATATGCAAGCATTGTGCTTTATTACTTAAGTGCTATTTGAAAATTACAATTAATTATTTTTGATTTCCTTAACAAAAAAAATTACATTATAGTGTTAAATTTGTACATTGGAACTATCAGATGCTTAAAAAAATTCAAAAACAAAATAACCCAAGAAATGCGGCAATTCTTTAATGTCTGATTTTCAGATAATGAAATCACCATTATTTTACTAAATTTTTCAAAGCATAAAAATTCTGTTTTTTATTTCTATAACAATTAATTAGTTCTTTTTCATACCATGTAATTTTTAAATTAATATAAGTATATATGCATGAATATACAGCAAAACCTCTTACATTTGATTATTTTCACTATTTTTTGCGCTTATTACAAGCATTGTTTCACAAAATACCTACGTTCACTCTCTTTTCCCCCACTATCAAGCTTTTCCCCGTTACCATTACAACACAATCGTGTGTGCATTTAAAGCACTCATTAAAAGTCACATAAGCTGCATATTAACCTCTGTCCATTTTTTTTTAACAAAAAACAAAATTTAAAAACAAAAATATTTCAAATCAGTGTGTAAAAATATTATACACACACACATATGTATATCAAAAAATATTCAATATAATTTCTTGACTAAAATAATTTGATACTTCATGGAGGAATACTTGCATGTAAGTTATATTCACAAGTGCGTGTTATTGTACGAGGCATAATCAAAATGAATTTATAATATATTTCGGAATATAAACATAAAGTTTTTATGGTTTTAATTGATAGCTTAACCAAAATAAAACAACATTCTACAATAATATCCGTGACAATAATAGTCGCTGTCAAAATAACCAAATAAAATAAAAAGACAAAAATACTTAAAATCATACTAAATTAATTACTAATAATTATTTAATTACTGAAACAGTAAATCACAATTTTTCTCATAATCGAAAGCACGAACGAGACAAATATTAATATAAATTTTTAATATATAAACAATACCGAACAAATTCTTGATCTTTGCTTAATATTGGGACTAACAATACTAAATTGTTTTGACTAACAATTGGAAACGTAAAATTTTTATTTTTTGCAATAATAGAAGATTACAACGTCAAATACATGAGTAATAAAATACAATCTACGGTTTGATTGATTTACATTTGCATTCGTTATTTCAGTTAAACCAACTTTACTAATTTTTTTCCTTTTTGCTTAATGTATTATCTTACGTTATTATATTTAATGTAAATTCTTCTTGCAGTATTACGGAACAACGAGATCTTGAGACCAACATCAAACCTACATTTATCACATATGCATAATTAGTTGTTGCTGTAATTATACCCGTACGAACGTATGTTCGTGTCATACAACTTCAAAATTTATTTGGCTTTATCTCAGAAACTATAAAAGCTGTGGTATTGAAATTTCATACAAGCAAGTATATTAGTAGGACCGATGTGCTTGATAAAATTCGTTAAAATTTCTTGGCTCTTTCTGGTAGCTGCCACGCAACTTGAATAGTAGTTTTACACACACAGTATTTTGAAAAATACAGTACTGAAATTTTGCATAAATTAATATGGTAATACGACAACTTAAAGTCATAGTCTGTCCCATAGTCAGTTATGGCATATTTATTCGCACATAGGATAACAAATTTGTACGGGTATCACAGAGCTGACAAGGTCAACTCTATTTTTTC